CTATATACTATATATATATATATATATATATATATATATATATATATATATATATATATATATATATATATATATATATATATATATATATATATATATATATATATATATATATATATATATATATATGAATTTACAGATGTATATCGCCAATGGGGTTCAAAAATATATACCTGACATCCAGTAGTGTTGTCGGTAGATCGCAAGTCAACGCACCACCATAGAGTGGTGTACTTCGGCGAGAATGAATAACGGGCATCGCTAACCTCAGCGCTAACACTATTCAATCCAGCAGCAACTATGGCTTATGTAGTTTCATATATATAGTCTTTGTAAGGTTGAACAAATTGGCTTAATAGTTATGCATAAATGTATCAATATATATATATACATACATATACGCGTATTAATGTTTGTGGATTAAAGAATATGCTAAGTAGGTATATACCTCTAATATATGTACTGGTACAGTATATGCTTTTGTGAAAGGCCACGCAACGTTACTAGCTCTACACCGATACGTAAGTTATATGTACAATTGTACAGCACAAGGACGCGAAATAAAAAAGTGTTATTTGATTTGAACGATGATGTCGACATACGCGTGCGATGACATATTCACTCTCCAAAATGCTTTTAAAATCTATGGCAAAAAATTCCTCTCATCAGTTTTTTTAATTTTCGTTTGTTGAAATAAAAAACGGAAGCGGGTTTGACCTTGTGGCTTGTGCCAAGCCCAGCCTTGCGGCAAAATTTTCCTCTCAAATAAAAATCAAAAATTCTGTGGCAAAATATCTTGCCGCACGATTACGAAATGCTTTTTATTTACACATATATACAGCGGAATGTGTGGATTAGAATTCATTCTTACACTAAGGATTGTATGTGCGTGTTACCACGATGAAAATATGTACTTTGCCAATTTTGATTGAGCTTGCATAGTACACATTAGAAGATAGAAGAGCAAGTTTTATTACACTGGCATCTTCCTCCTGTATTATACTGACAGCTACGAGTTTCTTCAGACTTCATGCGTTTCGCACTGTACATGCTCTTAGTGGACTGATTTACTGCGACAACCACGTGCACCATACACTACTGTGCGATCATGGATAAAGAAACGAACCCCACGACTGTTACCATGGAAACTACAGACAGTTCAGCCAGTAAACCTGAGACATCACAGTCGAGTATGCCTGGGAGCACACCAATTCCGCGCATTGAAGAGGATAGTAAGGGCAAGCGTGCCAGAGAGGATGATGGCGCACCCAGAGATGCAGATAAGGCAAATGTTAGTAAGGATGTTGACCGAGATACTACAATAACGCCTATTGGCATGAAATCCGATGCACAAACAAGTGGTAATATGGGAGATATTGCCCGCAAACGGTACAAGCAAAGTCGATCGACGCACAGCAACCCCAACAAGCAAGGCACTGCGCAACATCGACGGAAGTCTACAACACAGCGACAGCAGTTGAAAACGCAAGCATATGCACTGTTGCAGTTGCAATCACAGTCATACACAGGCACTGTTCTAGAGGGAAGGGAGGAGAGGTTAGCGCACGGAGAGTCTTTCGATAGCACATTGCGACAAATGAGTGAGGCCAGTATGGTTGGGAACGCCACCATAGAGGATGGACAGCCTGGCAACGGTGGTAACCATGGCAGCCGTCATAGGCGTAAGAGTAGCAACAGCCAGAGTCACAGCAGACAGAATAGCAATGTGGGGGGTGGTCGAGGTGGCCACAACAACAACGACAACAACAACAACAGGAACATCACAAACAATACGAGCCAAAATAGTAAGGGCAGGCTCAATTCCGGTCATAAGCATCAGAATGAGCCGCAAAGCGGTTCTAAAAGTAATTTCAGCAGACCAACCATTCACTACTGCACTGGCAAGGGCAGCAACAACGAGGCCACCGATCAACGGGCGACGGCTACTGAGCCTGGGCGGAATAAGAGAAGAAAGCGATGGCGACACAGCAAGACACGAACGAGTGCTTCCCACGGTACTCAAGGGGATGCTGGAGATACGCGTGCAGAGACAGGGGTTAACCAAGACCAAGAGGAGGTATGTGTACACGCCCTTGTTGTATAGTGTGTGTGTGTGTGTGGCATTTGATTTTAGATTGTATTGACTAGAGTCAACAGCTTAGGATGTGTATGGTACCAATTGAGTACTAGTTGTGTTTGTTGTTCTGTAGACACACGAATTGAAGAAAAACGTATGCATTCTAAATGAACTGCTTATGTTTGTCTACGACAGCAACATGCTAATGCAGACAATGGGGATCTAATGCACGCAAGTGTGGAGACGATGAGTTTAAAGCCAAGCGTGACCGTCGACGGGGGTACCAAAAGCATCGATGGTAGCAGAAAGGATATGCGGTTCAGATTCGGCAATTACTTGCACTACTACGGATATAGAACACCTCAAGAGGAATTTGATCCAAGGTGTGTGAGTGAGAGTGTCGTTGTAAGTGGATGTTGTTGTTTCCTTGGAATGTAATCGAGCCGAAGCTACACGTTCGCGGATTTTAGGATGACAATGCGGAATTGGATTACAGGTGTAGTTGGTTGGGAGTGGATGGAAGTTGGACTCTGGTCCATATGTCGTAGCATTGGGATTTAAATACACTACTATGAATATCTGATGTTGCCGGTTTGGTTGAAGTCAGAGCCTGTGCCTAGGCTGTTGATTTTGGCTTGACAGCAGAATTGAGAATAATACGAGCTAAGTGTGTATTATAAATCCACACGAATTATCAGTCGTACTCAGTACATAGATCTCCACCTTGCAATTGTGAACAAACTATAGTATGGGATTGTCACTGGAGAAGAAGTGTATTGGAATGAACTCTAGGCCAAGCAAATACACATATGATGTCTCCAGCATGCGAACATCTGCCCAGGTGCTTACTAACAAATAGTTACAAATTCTCATATGCAGATGTATATATTTACATATATATATATATATATAGAACTATCTGACCTTTCTCTCTCCTCGACTCATACCACCGGGTACAGAATATTAGCGATGCAACGGCGCTGGTTCGCCGACAAAGATGTGCTTGATATTGGCTGCAATGTGGGCAATGTATCGCTTGCTATAGCACAAGACTTCAAGGCCAAGTCGGTGGTGGGCATAGACATTGACGAGACGCTTATTAGGCGGGCCAAAGGGAATCTCAAGATCACTGAGTCGTTAAGGGTAGGCGTTCGGTGTGGGTGTACGCTTATGCCTTGTGTCTTGTGAATGCGTTTTTTGCGTCCTTGTTGGTGTGAGCCGAGCTCTATGTTTGCGTATATCCTGATAAGTTATTAATGTACTTGGAATGTCCCGATAATTGAGTACATTTATTTGGGCTGTATGTACAGCGTATGTGCGATGTCTTCTGTCTTGTGCACCTTTGTATATGCGGAATATGTCAGCAAGGGTAGTTATGCAACTGTGTGATCACCGACTTTATTTTGTATTCGGATGTAGGGTCCCGCATAAACCCAAACTACCAATGTCTATACACGCCTCCTCTCTCTACACTGCATGAGATCTAGTTAATAACAACGGGCACCTTGCGTCTAGTTGAGCACATCGAGAACACGTGCGGCTCGCCATGTATTTAAAATCGTCTTACCCCATCTCATCTGGCTTTGGGTGGTTTTAATATGAACACATGCTGTTATGGTACAACATACACACATCCTAAGATAGTGTACATGCGACCAAGAGCGGATGTTTGAATTCTTTAATATCACTTACTCCCACCAGCCTGCCCCGGCTGTCGGTATAGAGACAGTTTATAGAATTCGAGCCACACTGAAGTTACTTATCATTACTGTCGTCGTACGTACTGTTCCGTATGATAGTACCAAGCACCTGCAGCCCACCTTGTTGACTATTCAGTTCTAAAATTTCAAGGAGTAGGGTGTCTGTATAAGGTAATTGTTCAGATAATTTCTCGAGTACATACGCTCGATCATGCATAAACCTACTTGCGCATCAAGTTCATATCACACCCTGGCCAAGATCTGAAGTTCTGATACGCATACAGAGAGACCATTTGCCCATACCTCCAGAGCTACGACATTCACAATGGTCCCCATAGTCGTTGCTGAGCGTGTATTCTACCTCTAAACTTCAAATTAGTAGCCTCGCTTATGTACAGGTCTGTTTATATGCATATGAGCCCACGAATATAGTCACACATGTAGAGACAATCTCAGTAGGCACTTCCACACCTAGTCCACTCATATATCTCTCTGTAGCCAGCTGGCTGCCGCTAATAAACATGACTATGACATATGGTATATATTTCCATAAATATTACCCTCACACACATACACACACTTATATATATATATATATATATATATATATAACCCTGTTTCATACATTCACAGCCCACGAATACAAGCCATGGCACGCACACAGAGACAACCTCGGCAGTCACCTCCACATCTGCACTGCCAACAACGTTCCCCATGTCCTTTGCCATGTGTTTGGGGCCCATTCCGATTGTGCCGCCAACGCACGAGGACGACACTCACTCCGCCACGGAGCAGGAGCACATTCCGGAGCAACCCAAGAGATACCCGCATAATGTCGAGTTCAGGACGCTGAATGTCGTCGGGATGGAGATTACTGAGCCCGAATACGACACTGTGCTGTGGTATGTATTGACGGCCATCCCTATAAACGTTTGTTTGGGGAACGGCTAGGCTGTGGTGGTATTAGTTGCGGGCGCGTGTATAGATATAAACATACAATAGATTGTAGTTGTGGATGTATGAAATTCTGGTGTGTCGGTGTCCGTAGCATTGACCTGAGTCCTTTTTTGCATATTAGGTGCAAGGGTTTGGTGCAGCAATCGCACTCTTGTGCTTCTGAATTGCCCACGATCCTACCTAGCACCAAGGGTGGCTTGTTAGAGACTGGACTATGTGATGCTGTCGTGTCTGTGTATGTGCGAACATCTCACTTCACTGTTGTCCGTACACCAACTAACCAGGTAAATAGTGTAGGATATCTAAAACCCTATAATCTCTAAATCCCTAAATCCCTAAACACCTGCATGTGGATATCAGGGACACACGCATCTGGTCAGTTAACTATACAAGTGCCCATCTGATTCTTTTTCAAGAATATATGCCTACACATAGACGTCTGTGATACCAGCACATCAATGAATTAACTATACACGTGTTCATCTGCTTGTCTGTGTTCCCTGCCATCTCTAGCCTCAGCGTGGTGAAGTGGATACATCTCAACTGGGGCGACGAGGGTGTGTACACATTCTTCAGGAACGTGCTCAAGCTGCTCAGGCCGGGCGGATTATTCGTCTTTGAACCACAGGTACGAGTGCTTATACACTTACCTTGATGTATTTGTCTTTAAATGCACGTTACATGTGAAGCTAGCAAGACACTGTGTATGGAATGTGCAAGGGCACCCATTCTTCTACTGGGTGGTGCTATTAATAGATTTATGTGATATGATGTACTTGTCGTCTGTTGGGTGGTGCTATTGATAGATTTATGCGATATGCTGTACTTGTCTTCTGGTGGGTGGTGCTATTAATAGATTTATGCTATATGATGTACTTGTCTTCTGTTGGGTGGTGCTATTAATAGATTTATGCGATATGATGTATTTGTCTTTGAATGAGCGTTGCATGCAAAGCTGGCAAGACACTGTGTATGGAATGTGAAAGGGCACCCGTCCTGCTGTTGGGTGGTGCTATTAATAGATTTATGTGATATGATGTATTTGTGGGATACAGCTGATACAGGGCACCAGGTATTAAACTCTTTTCCATTCATCTCGTTTATATATTGTAATACATATATTGGAAATTCGTCAATACTCGAAACCCTAAACCCTTGCATACGTACATTCAGTCATCCCAGCGTGCTTTACTGCCTTCCCAGATTTATTTCTTCATATATATCTCTAAGTGGAACAGACCTTGAGACCCTGGTTGTACGGAACTCTTCGCAATTGGTTAAGTGGTAGCCGATAGTTTGTGTACAGGATTGATTGGGCGTGTACTGTTCTTGCCGATCTTGTTCACCCTTGCATCGCACAACATTAGAGTTTGCTAGACTGCTGCAAGCGTATCCGAACACCGATACTTTTGTGATCGCCAATAGCTGCCGAGAGCAAATTAACTTTTGGCTTGCACACTCGTGCGTATCTGAAATTTGCAACGTACTCAGATTGAAGATGGTGTGATCGAATGATTCATAAATGTGTCCGCATATCAGAGTTGCAGTGGTAAGCACAAGGACTGTACACTACTAGGATCAAATGGTAGATACACACACACACACACACACAAAGTTCAGGCCTGCTATCTGTCGTCGCTATTATCTCTGACTTCTGCCCATCTCTATACCACAGCCGTGGAAATCATACAAGAAGAATCGCTATATGCATCAAGACCTCCAGAAGATGTACCAGACACTCAAGTTCATGCCTGATACGTTCCTGGGCTATCTCACCAGTGAGGAGGGGGGCTTCACACATGTGGACACCGCGGTCGTGCAGCAAACGGCGAAACAGGGTAGGCGTTTATTGTCTGGTGTTTTTGATAGCTGAATGGGGTTGTGAGGATTGTTGAGCGATGCATGTATACACCGATATATTGGCTTATGTTTGTTTGTTTTTATGGGTGTGTATGTGTTGGTATGTGGGCGTCCCATCTATTCGAGTATGATAAACTTTGGTCCGTATAGACACAACGATTGTGCAGTTAAAGGCGAAATTGGCGCCGTGTCCAATTTGTATACTTGATATATATGGGTGCTTATTCTTGATTGGATGTAGGCGGTACATCTCAGGTGATATATTCTTGTGTACACGCATAAAGTTATGTGTATCTGTGATTATTCTGAAGCTTTAGCATACACGGTCGCTCTGGTCTAGTAGTGGACGGGATTAGTTGAGTGTCCTCCCTTTTTGGCGAATATGGGAGTAGCACGTGTCTGATCTGGTCGTATTCACATCAGCCTTTCTGTGTACATGTACATGTATGTGTTTATGTGAATTAGGATATGTATGTGTATATATTAATTGGTACATGTATGTGTATATGAATAGGCGAGTATAGGAGGCGCTCGTCCGTTCACATCTACAGGCGTGTAGCAAACGACGAAACAGTACATGTATGTGCGAAACGCCAGTGCGAACCTCATCTCTGTATATATTCAATTAACATATTCGTATACTTTTGTAGAATTATGTATTTTTCATAAGTATACGCACTGAAAAAATCTTCAATGTGGGCAGTTTGCTCGTATATTAGTTGATGGCGCGTACGATGTGCGCTTATCGGGCTGTCAGTATGCGCACGAGCATTCTACGGTCATATTTGTACAATACACATGTATATGTATATAATGAGGTGTATTCAGAAAGTCAACATATTCGTGTGTTTGAGATATATATATATATATATATATGTAAGTGCAAAACAAGTTCATATAATAAGTGCAAACTAAGCTCCTAAGACTGACTGTATGATGCCCCAATATTTTTTGTACTAAAGTACGGTTTGATTGCGATCAGAACGTTTGGATCTATCTAGAAATTAAGTCGTGTAAGGTTCAGAGATTTTAAATATGGTCACAGTTGGTACAAAATTAAATACAAGCGTGTATGGACTACGATGCGCATGCTTGACTGAACTTTTCTCCTCTGAACGTCCTGTGGCGTGTACTGCAATCGCACAGAGAACATTCGTATGTGCTATCGCAATTTTTTTTCGCATCTTATGTGTATCGTCCGATATCCTATCCCGAAGAATCTTCGATTTCCTATCTGTATTGTCCTCATGAATAGTATGAGCTTTCGGCATAGTATTTTGTCTAATTCTTTGAAAATTTATAATACTCGTGTTAATGTGGGCTTTACGCATGAAAATATTGTGACTTTATGAAATTTGACTAAAGGTTGTCTCTCTTTATAACACCAAGGCTTCAAACAACCTGCTTATGTAGTGTGCATGGATTACTCTATAGACTAGCTTTATGCGTACTGTTTTTAAGTTTCATCATGGGATCTAACATAACATGTTACTGTGCTTATAATCATACTCATATCCAGGTTTCAATCGACCCATCTATATACTGCGTAAAGATAATTCTACCGACAAACCACAGGAACGGGAAGAGTTAAGAGACAAGGAGTTAAGGAAAAGGCGTGAACTACGTGATAAAGAGGCCCGGGAACGAAGAGAAGAACGTAATAAAGAGCATTGATGTATTGTCGTGTCTGACTGTCTTTTTAATCTTCGCAATTGGCTTGTTGAGCAACGGAGGTACGCTGCTGCGCACAGATAAAAGTCTGCCGATGGTGGAGTACTAAAACACTATAATTTGCTGAATTGAATAGTGGGTTGTTGTATTTTTATAGAAGTCAAGGTGGTCAAGGGACTTCATTTTGTATGACCCTTTGCTAATAGTCTTGAGCAAGAATCATGCCGAGCAGTCGTCGACTCGTACTCGTCGTACAAGACGTATTTATTTAGGCGTATATTTTAAACAAAGACAAGGTGTTTTATAAAAATAGACTATTTCATAGCCTTCTAAATAGAACAAGGCTATGAATATTTGGTTTTAAAAGACAGAAATGGTTGATAAATACAGGAATACCAACAAAAAGTTGCGTAGCATAAAGAGAAACGGTTGAAATAATCGAGAATTCAGACTTTTTAAGAATAAGAAAAATACGTGATACATACCGACATGTAAATAAATGTGTAAAAAGATACGTATATATATATACAAGAAAGGTCGGAAAATAATTTACCATCAATGCAACCAGTTTCATACAAATGTGACAACTACAGAACAGAATTAAATATAGTTGGGTGCTCGTGAGATCCTGACTATGATCACAGGTGAATTAAATGAAAGCGGGTACACCATTGTCCGTGAAATCCTGATTGGGATCGCAGGTTTCGTGTTTTCCCTTGTTGCCTGGTTTCCGTAGTCATCGACGAACATATCATTATCTGGTCAGTCCATATTGATATCCAGCTTGGTCAACCAATCTCGTCAATCCTGGGCGTTGGCGGCCTCAACAATGAATATGTAACCCTCTGGCTCATTGATGAAGGAGCACTTGGATTTTTCTGTGATATTCGGACGCAAATAAACGCATTCTTGTCAGTTCAGGAAGATACGGTCACCACTAAGCCATTCGAGCAGGACGACGAAAGACTCGAACATCATTGTCACCTGATCGTCGGTTAGTCTTTGGACAATACTGCCAGTATCAGCGGCAATTTCGGCAGGGACGACGCATAGACAGCGAGTTACACAGAGATTGGGTGTTATGGGGATGATAAATGTACGTGAATCTAGATCGCTGCATTCAAATCGCGCTGGATCTCCAATTCTTGTGCAGACAAGCACTCCTTCACGGAAGCTATGGCCTGGATATTGGTTGAGGTCTTCAACATTTTAGTCCCAGTAACTTGAGTAATAGAGCGGCAACAGAGAGTCTAATCCTTTTATTGTTTTAAGTGTGATAGGGTGTGTTTTATGTGGTGTAAAATTCAGAATCGGAGTTTTAATTGTTAAGCTTCGATTCTTTCTCAGAACAGGCACTATCCCACTATGACCGACCTTGATACCACCCATAAAGTTACAGATGACTCCTCTGAGACAACCAAGAAATAGGACGAGCCCAACAAACCACTATACAAGAAAAACCGCATCGACAACAATACGGATTCTGACTGCTAGTGTAAGACAATAGCCGCTCTTAAAGTCTCAATCGATGATTTAGTCCAGATGGAATTCGAATCAGTCAAGGAGTTCCAGCAATTCAGAGAATCCTCTTAACAGAGCCATGAAGAAGCAACGCTGCCGCCAAGGAGAAGAATCAACGTCTGCAGGTGCAACTTGCAACTCTGTCTTCTCAGACTAAAGGACAGAACCCAGCTCGACGCTGATGCAGCTCTTTGCTCCCTTCTACCAACGTTGCCTGACTCAGTCAAAAAAAAAATATGAAAGATAAGACCGTCGCCCTCGCCGATATAAAACCTGCTTTCCGACCAGCTCACCTTCAGGAGGGTTCTAGTGAACTTACAACTGACAAACATTCATCTCGAAGATTAAGGCTAAGAAAGAGGCTTTCACGTCCTCCGCAGACGTGATTCGCGCATTCACCGCCATGCTTGCAGCCTCCTTTCTGTACAACGAAGACTTTAGAACAGACTCTACAGCCATCGCCGACCACTTGTCTTACTTTTGCCGCCTGACAACATACCTAGACAATATGACTCCAAGTTCCGTTGCAAAGCTCGACCTAGAACACAGAGGGGGTTTTGACGGATATGAGGCAAACACAGCCTAGTCAACATCGATCCAAACACTATCGCTCGATTCCTATGCACACCCGGAAATAGCCTGCCACACGCTTACTGTGCCTACTGCGGCACTACCAGGTCCTTGTATGTATGCGAGAATGTGAAGCAGACCGAGCTCCCCAACGCTCCCAAGACTGAAATCTGCAGACGTTTCAACAAAGGCACGTGCACGAGCCAGACCACAAAGTGTGTATATGAGCGCCTTTGCGACCGCTCCATGTGCAAGTCGAAAACCACACACGGCTCGCACCAGCATGACCCATCTAAACACGAATGATACATCAGCCCCACGACCATACTTATCAAACCCGCAACACATAACAGCTCAAACTCACATCCAATGCTCCCTCGCCACACTCGTGATGGGCATACCTCAGCAATCACCACACATACAAATTCATTCGCTACGGCTCTAGCTTAGTCTACGATCCCTCCGTCGGTGCCTGACCCCGATAAGCTAGAATCCGCTCTTTTAGGTTTGGCGTAACACTATATTAAAAGAAAAGCTCATCCATAATGTTCCTTCTGGCACACACATTGGCAACAACTGAGAGACTACAGGTCTCAGGCCAGATTTTACAGCAAGAAACCCTCTTTGATTTATGGAAGTCATCAGAGTTAGCTCACTCCCGAGAGCTAATCAAGTTGCTTAAAATAATCTCGAGAATTGAGTTGCTACTTAACCGACTCCCGAGAGCAGATTAAGTTTCTCAACGGACTTCCGAGAGTGGATTAAGTCTGCCAACCGCAACATTCTAAAACTAGCTGCTGGTCTATGCTAGTCACAACCTATGCGGAAAGGCGTCATGTGATCAGCGTGGGATTTTGCCGCAGAGAAGTCGAAAAAGAATAGCATCGAAGTGTTAAAGTGTTCTGTCCAGTCCAAGCGGCCGAACACTAGCACAAAAACCTGGAGTATAAAACCAAAAATGAGGTCTTAAATAAATACATACATTTGCACTTTATTTAAAGCCTACTACATTGCACTCTGATAACTTATCAGGTCCGCTCTGATCTTGCGTTCTCAATTTTTTTACCGTGAACTCTAAGCATATTAAGACCACCACTATTCTCAAAACAATTATTCTCGAAACGAAGGTCTACTGGCTCCCTTGGAAAACTCAGATCATTATATCCGTGAATTGTGAAGGAATTCCAACAATATTGACCGATCCGACCCCGTCTAGAGGCCACCGACTGTAAAAGACGATACTCAGACTGTTACGCTTACATTGAAGATACCCACTATGATGGCCATGTCGTATGATGAACTTATAACGTATCTCAGCGCGTTGGATCCAGACGAAAGTGACCCATCGACAATTGTGCAAGGTGCACATGCAGCTATATCGCCAGGCATTATGCATTCTGCAACAATCGTGGACATTCCATCGGTCAATACCGTAAGCTACAAGCGTTAATCAAATCATGTGTTGCTGGTAACCCACGTGATCAGGGTCGTGACCACGACGGTCGTAAACATTACGATCGACGGATTGACAAGTCTGGTCCTCACCAAGACATGAGAGACTACAGATTTATGTCCAAGAACAATGACAAGCATAGCAGACCTGATTCAAGTCGTGGCTACCGTACACGTGCGGAACGTTACAACACAAACAATCGCTATCAATACCGCTACGATAATCACGATGATCAGGACCGAACTACTAAGTAGATAGATACAATCGACGCGACTACGACGATGGTAGATATTTACGAGATGCTCAACGTTCACAAGACAGTGACAGAACACACCGATCCCAGAACAATCGACGCCAAGCTCGTAAAGGCAGACAGGACAAAGTAATGTCAGCACAAGTATCCGATGGCCAGCTATCTGCTAACCGTCAGATTGAATTATTCACAATTACCCCTACAATCGACAACAAGGAAGTGAACGACCAGTCAGACAAAGATTCTAGGGGTGGGTACTGACTAGCTTGCGATAGTTGCGCCGCCATACACGCACTTCCCTATAAGTATCACAAGCATCATCTCGTCCGCAACATGCGTATTAATGACCAACGCTCGAAGTAGCTGATGGTACAATCATTTATTCGAACTACGTGGCTCAGCTAGGAGACTTGGGGGACGTACTCATCGATATGACATTCAAAACTGCATTCTAAGTAGTAGCCTACTCTTAGCGCGATACTACTCATTTCTATTTACCAACAACAAGATGTACATATTACTACCAAGCTTTCGAACCATATCAGTACATGAAAAGCACAGAGTACACTGAGTGCACATCGTAAAAGAAAGTCAATCGGATTTCATGGCGCAACAGGCTCGCGCACCCCAGCTACGTCCCAAAAGATTTACCCTACATAAGGCAACCAGAGGAACGATGCAAAGCATACACTATAGCTAAAAAGAACAAGAATACAAACAAGGAATGATAGCACGAACTTGCCACAGAGCCTCTCGAGTTAGTCTTCGTGGACATAATAGGATCGTTCGCAACGTCAATCGTATCAATCAGAGACGACTTTTCTGGCATGACCAAAGAGTATCCGATCCGCGATCTGAAAGCAACAACAATTGTTAACGCTATGTTACGCACATTCGATGAATGGTACGCTTTTGGGACCTTTTCTAAGTCACAACTAGACCCTCCTTATTATACCATGTCATCCTAAAGCGGAATAACTAAAATCCGCCCGGATGGGACCGAGAAATTTCGGCGCATTCACGACCTCTCATTCCCCAAGAAAGGCAAGCACAAGGGCATTAGTTCACACATAGCTTACGGAAAAAAATAGATACACTAGCTTGCGCTGTTTTATCGACGGGATAAATAGTCATCCACCCGGCACGCTCATGAGCGTTATGGATATCGTAGGAGGCTTCAGGCTCATGCCAGTCCACAAACACGAAGTTCCACTCCTAGGCTTCGAATGGCAGGGCCTCTACTATTTTGAACAATTGTGCCTACCATTCGGTTTGGCAAGCTCTCCCGCACTATACGAAACTTTGGTCTCCACTCTCGACTAGGCACTGCACCAAGCTCAACTGTTCTTTGCACATTGGGTTGATGATTTTCCAGTACTCTATACAACTTGCGGTCATCACCGACACCCTTGCTCGATTCAACATCAAAATACACAGTGTTAAGTTCATTGGAAGCGCTTCGTCGGCAGTCTAAATATGAGTGCTATTCGATATACAGACCCGTACAGTAATCATACCGCTAGAGAAACGTAGCAAATACGCATCGAGACTAAGTTCTTTAGCGCTGAAGGACACGGCCACATACCAGGAAATCTCAAGTTTGTCGGTGAAGCTTGTTTGGCAGACAGCCATTCTCCCTCAGGCACGCCCCTACATTCAACGTCTATTCTGGTTACTACCCGCAGGGGAAGCATGGGTACAGCATCATCACAAGCTCATCCCCACTAAAATCAGGTACGACATGGTGTCACTTCAAAGAATTCTAGACAAATGGGGCGGCACCGCATGACTGTTCACACAGACCTTGAAAGCTACTCCGATAATCTGCACATACACCGCGGAAAGAGAGTGCGTGTGTACGACGAGTTCGCAGAAATTTTGTTACCAATCTCAAAAACCAGCCTCGACCGCTTCATAACCAATATAATCCCCAAACTACCAGCAAACATGGCTCACTCGCACCGATTCCGCAAACCCCTTACTGCCCGTGGCCTCGGCAACAGAAACTACAGCGGCCACTCTTTACGCATCGGAGGTTTGACAGCCCTTCGCGAAGTAGGGGTTAATGAATCAGAGACGATGATTACTGGCCGCTGGACGTCGGCGGTTAACATGCGATAGGCTCGCGATCGTCATAACTCAGAACGGCTTACCTCAACGGTCACCTCCCTTCTATCGGCTATCACTGATCAAGCTCCAAGAACTTTCATCAGCCCAAACGTCGGAAGCCACAACCCTTAGGTTGGGTAATCGACAGACTACACCTCGGGCCTCGTCCGTCTAACGCCGTCCCGATATAAACGGGACACTTCACGTTCAACATAGGCAAACTCACGTAGTAGACTTTTATGTGTGATAGGATGTGTTTTATTTTGTGTACAAGTCCGAGCCGGAGTTTGGATTATTATGACCCTGCTCGGAAAATACTACTTTATAGACCACAGCAGATGGGGTAGGGGAAGGAGCAAAAGTGCATTTCAGTGTTCAAAGTATGTTATAAGAATATATGAACGCAGAAAAACACGGTCTCATAATTTGCAATTCCAAGCTTCGATTGTTTCTCAAAACACCACCCCCACCCATCAACTTCTTTACTATACTTATCTAGCCAGAAACCTAAACACAACAACCCAATTCTCAATTAAACTTGACGAACCCCGGGGTAATCGACCAACTACACCTCGAGGCCTCGTCCGTCTGGCGCCATCCCGATCTAAACGGGTCACTACACGCTCGACACAGGTAAACTCGCGCAGAGACCTTTATTTCGTCAACGCCAACGACAATGGAGAATTTATCTTGTTCTGCCTATTGTCGACACTTGGTGCGATTATTATTGAAAGCTGCTTGGGATTTACTTTTGAAAGGAGAGATGATGCCCATTGTGACAGTAGCGGAAATGATGTTGGTACAGGTTTTGTACTTGAGAGAAGAGTGAATGAATGTCCGAAGTAAAGGCAGTATTTATATTGAAGATCAGACAGATCATTCTAGCTGCAGCATTGCATTTCTGTTAGCCATTCAAACACAACGACAACTTGTCAGCACGCTGTCGTCTATATAGATGTTGATTATTAACATCCTAGAGAGCTCTGATACGTACTGACCACAGGACTAGGCGTTCGATATACACTGCACCGAACTGCAAGTCTCGAGTACCTGGGAGGATAAAGGTGTTAAGTAGGTACGCTGCCGTCGTGTCACGTCAACGAGGTTGGAGATGATTGGAGACTACTTCACCGTGAAGCCGCATAGTGTCAGCATACAGCATGGAAGGATGGACAGACATAGGGACGACTAAGCAGGATAGAAAGGGTACTGACACTGCGCGGAGGATGGTTGACACTATGCGGATTCCTGATGGGCTATAGCTATGGTCATACTGTATACGGTAATGCTTCAAGCGCAATTATATGACCTGGTACACGAGACGTCGTCCACTGTTCTTTTGGTCACGGGTGCACTGTTTATTTATTGGAAACCTTGTATTGACGAGAAGTGCCTTTTAAAATTGACGACAAATCATGAGAGGCAAACCAGGTCTCAACATATCAATTTTTTGATTAAACGATATTGTCCCGATAATTTTCCAGCCCCGCAATTAGCCAATCAATTGTAGCAATATACGTACTCGAGAAGCGAGAGACAAGATTTAAAGATGCGGCACATGCAAAAGTAAAACTTGTACGTACAGTTTGCAGAGGTATCGGATTCCCCTGAAACCTCAAGCAAGTCATGTCGGTTAAAAAGCTCGTAGACGCATCACTGCGTGAATATGTTTGTGCTGTAGGTTCGATACTCCACAATTCACCATGCCCTAGCGAATCGTTGAACCAGGAACTTAATAGAATCATTTGTGCACGCGTCCCCAATTGTGGACCATCATGAAGTCCACGGTTCAATATTCGGGTCTGAAGCCATGTTTGCAGAGATCAAGCAATTGATAGGAGGCGAGCAAAGAAAGAAAGAATCGACAGTAAGCGCGAACTTACCAAACTTTAAACAGTACAAGGCAAGTATTTGCTCACAATCAGAATTGACCTTGCTTTAGAACAACATATCAAAACAGAATCCGACGAATCAGATACGGGATACATACACGCGCTTGTATTTTTGTATACAGCTCTGTGTATTAGTACACACACAGCCTTCACCAGGAGGCATCGAAGGTGTACACATCCACTACAATGTGATAGAAAAGACTCACGTATGCCTGAAAGGCTGGCTACACAAGACGCACTTGACCATTGCGTTCAAACATAAACAAACGGAAACGGATAGTTGTCAGAGAAGTGCATCACAAGTGTTTGTATCGCGAGTATTCGAAGGTGTCAGCTAGAGTAGGCCCTAAGCAGGTAGGCAGAAAGGCAATTGTAAAAGAATAGTGTACCTCGCGAGTATTCGAAAGTGTCAGCTAGAGTAGGACCTAAGCAGGTAGGCAGAAAAGGCAATTGTAAAAGGAAAGTGTACCACGATTCGGATTATGGATACTTTATTCTATTCGCAGCATCCTGGCGTTCTTATTTCTTTCGCCACAGAGTTATTTCTTGTTGTTTAAAATACCGTCTGTGGAGGAAGTGTTGGTTGATATTAGTCTTTGCTCATTCGGCGAAGTGAATATTTGTAGCACGTGTCGTATGTGTATGATTTTTGTAGGTATCACATTTGAGCTGTGGCAGGTGTTGTACGTGTCTGACTTCTGCAGCTATTCTCGTTTGAGCGCGTAGTGCACCGGAGCAAATTAAAATGAGTACCGAACTGTGTAGTGCGTATATGAAGTGATTTAACAGCGGTGGCATATGCTTAGTAGACATGTGACTATTCACGGGTGTATCTATGTATGATTTTAAACAAATTACTATCAGTGGTTGCTGATATAAACTCATGTAATATACATATTATGACTGTATAAGTGTACGTCAACCTAGGCTTTCTGCAAGATACGCATCACCCATATATATTTGACGTAAACTAGCGCAAGTTTGATCGCACACGCATAGGCGCACAAGAGGCAAACGCACACACACACAAACAAGTAAACCCGTGAACAAAGTCATGCACGCACACTCCACGTACACTCCACACACACAATAGCATACGTACACATATACACACATTACACACACAAGAGCACAACAAACCCACATGCACAAATGCACATTCGAGCACGCTTTCATTTTACTATACAGCTGTGCTGAGAACAGCCAGTCTACACGCCGACGTATATAGGTAGCTGCAAACAGGTGATTTACTTGCATATATAAATACGCAGCCGACCTATACACACACAAACACACACTTTCATTTATCTATATATGTACAAACACAAAAACAAACACAAACACAAAAACACACATATATCTAACTATATATATACAAACGCAAACACAAACACACACACACACACACAAATATACATATATATATATATATATATATATATATATATGTGTGTATTA